AGGGGCTCTAGAAATGTCAGGGAAGAGTTCCCTGCGGTCATTTGATTCCAGGAGTTGGGAGCTGCCAGGATTTGCAGCGTGAGCACAGGAGCTGGCAGCTCGCTGGGGTCACTGTGGGCAGCCCTAGAATGTTCCTAAAAATAACCCACGTCCCTGGTGCCCTTATTAGAGCATAAATACCTATTCCAGCAAGCCACCTGCAAGACATCACAGAGCAGCAAAGCTCTCAGCACAACCTCCCTGAGCAGGGAAGTTTTAAAAGCCAACACAAAGTCATTTCCTTCCACTTTCACACCAGCGTGTCTGGATACCGATTTCTCTTCTTGTTTTAGAGGAAGCAAAAAGTTCCTCTCTTCTATTTGGAGTTTGTTTCCAAACCTGAAGCAGCACAGTTTTTCTTTGTGTGTCTTGTGCTCTTCCTGGCAGAGCCTGCTGGGAGAAAGCTGCATTCAGGAGGATGTGCTCTGAACACTCAAACCAAGACACCCCCAAATCATCTGCTGGCTCTGTGGGCAAGGCAGGCTCCTGCCAATCCTGTCAGACTCCAAAAGTGCTTTGCTGCCCAGCAGCTGATAACCCAGACACTCAAAGCAGAAGGGGTTGAGTGTGGAGTTCCTGTGCACCCTGTGGTTATCAGGAGTCTCTTTTGTTGCCCGCTTTTTTGTTGAAATCAGCAGCTTCCTGAAGGCTGAGCTGCATGTCTAACACTGTTCTCAACTCCTAGGTCTGGCTTCCAACGTGGTTCCTATGTTCCTTGGAGAAATGTCCCCCAAAAACCTGAGAGGAGCAGTTGGGGTGGTGCCACAGCTCTTCATCACCATTGGCATCCTTGCAGCTCAGGTCCTTGGTCTCAACAGCATCCTTGGGAATGCCGAAGGTAAAGCTCTGGCTCAGGCCCCTCCAGGGCTCCTCGGGGGGAGGATTTCTCTCAGCTGACGTGCTGTGCCCTTGCTGCAGGCTGGCCTGTGCTGCTGGGGCTCACTGGCATCCCGTCCCTGATCCAGCTCCTGACACTGCCCTTTTTCCCCGAGAGCCCCAGGTACCTGCTCATCCAAAAGGGCAACGAAGAGCAGGCACGGAGAGGTACAGTGCCCCCCTCCCTGGCAGGGAGCTGGCAGGGGATGGCTCTGCCCGTGGGACAGGCTGGCAGCACCAGGGTGGCAGGGAGCTGGCAGGCGATGGCTCTGCCCGTGGGACAGGCTGGCAGCACCAGGGTGGCAGGGAGCTGGCAGGCGATGGCTCTGCCCGTGGGACAGGCTGGCAGCACCAGGGTGGCAGGGAGCTGGCAGGCGATGGCTCTGCCCGTGGGACAGGCTGGCAGCACCAGGGTGGCAGGGAGCTGGCAGGGGATGGGTCTGCCCATGGGACAGGCTGGCAGCACCAAGGTGGCAGGGAATGGGTCTGCCTGTGGGACAGGTTGGCAGCACCAGGCTGGCAGGGAGCTGGCAGGGGATGGCTCTGCCCGTGGGACAGGCTGGCAGCACCAGGCTGGCAGCACCAGGCTGGCAGCACCAGGGTGGCAGCACCAGGCTGGCAGCACCAGGGTGGCAGTACCAGGGTGGCAGGGGATGGGCCTGCCCGTGGGACAGGCTGGCAGCACCAGGCTGGCAGATTCTCCACTGCTGTGCTGCTGGGGGGTGGAATTCTCAGGACACTGCTCCTTTCCCTGGGTGTGTGGATCCCCAGGTGCCCACCACGGGACCTCAGCTGCCCAGGGTCACACCCTGCTGTGTCCTGGTCGAAGCAGGACAGCTCTCTGTAAACCTGGGGCTCACAGCTCCCTGTGCTCTCCCCACCAGCTCTGCAGAGGCTGAGGGGCTGGGAGGACGTGGATGATGAGATACAAGAGATGTACCAGGAGAACCAGTCAGAGAAGGAGGAAGGGCAGTTCTCTGTGCTCAGCCTGTTCACCTTCAGGGGCCTGAGGTGGCAGCTCATCTCCATCATCGTCATGATGGCAGGCCAGCAGCTCTCCGGGGTCAATGGGGTGAGTGGGGAAGGCTGGGGGGCACAAACAAGGGCTGGAACTCCAGAGGGTGCTGGGGACAGACCCCTGGCAGTGCCCCTGCCCCCAGTGTCACACGGGGCTGGGTCAGCCCTGGCCAGTACCAAATCCACGGGCAAGGTGCAGGGTCAGGTGTCCTGTTAATGATCACTGGAGTGTGTCTAGAGCAAAGAGCTCGTGCCCACATCCAAACCAGTGTCTCCAGAGATGGACAAATTCCACCCTCGGGCTTCTGTGCACCAGTGCCAGGATTTAAAGCAGCCAAAAGGGGCTCCCCACGCGCTGCCTCGGGCCATGCATTAACACAGCTGTGGCTCTGCTGCAGGTCTTCTACTATGCAGACAGAATCTTCGAGTCAGCAGGGGTGCACAGCAGCAGCATCCAGTATGTCACCGTGTCAATAGGTGCCATCAACGTGGTCATGACTCTGCTGGCTGTAAGTTTGTGCTGGGGCTCTCTGAGCTCTCCTTGCCCACTGTCTCCTGCTTAAATTAGGTTGTGCTCATGGAGTCTGACTCACAGAATGGTTTGGGGTGGAAGGGTCCTTAGAGATCACCTCACCCCAAAAACCTTCCACTGGAGCGTTCTTTGCACACACTGGGAGGTGTTTTCCATGACAGATGTCTTGGGGTGTCCCTTGGACAAAAACATCTGCAAGAGGGGTGTCTGCCCCTCTCCCCTCTCCTGTCTCTTCCAGGTTTTCATTGTGGAATCCCTGGGGAGGAGGATCCTTCTCCTGGCTGGCTTTGTGCTGTGCTCTGCCTCCTGTGCAATCTTAACTCTGGCCCTCAATCTCCAGGTGTGTATGAATGGCTCAGCTGGTCCCTCCCATGATGTCTGGACTTTCCAGAACAGGCCATTGGAATATTCTGAGGATGCTTTTACACCCTGGGGAGGAGGGGTCAGCATGAAAGTCTCTGTACTTGCATGTCTGCCTTAAAGAAAGGCTGTGATGCTGCATGCTCCCCCCAGGATGTCATGTTCCCTGTTCCTGCTGCATCAGGACCCTTGGCAGCAAGGATCACAGCCAGGCTGTGCTGTCTGTGTCTGACTGGCACTGAAGGGTGGCACTGCCTTGGAATGCCTTCAGATCTTGTGGGAACAGTGCCTTGGTGATGTTCAGACAGGAAGCAGCCCTAACCTGTGACTCAACCCTTGCAGACCACTGTCTCCTGGATGTCCTACCTCAGCATAGTCTGTGTCATTGCCTACATCATTGGACACGCCATTGGACCCAGTAAGTGCCCACAGCCTCCCCCACCAGCTGGGTAAAGGTGTTGGCTTCAATTTCCAACCAAAACCTTTGTGGAGCTCATCCAGGGAGGCTGAATTTCATCTCTGTGTGGCCATGCCCCATGCAAGTCATTTAATTTCCTCGTTTTTTCCTTTAAATTTAATCCTTGTTTGGCTTACTGATAGTTGAAACCACTGTCTGCCACTGAAGTGAGCAGTCTAACTAGGAACTGAGGGTGAGGGGATTGCCTCTGGGGTGTCCCCACCTGCAGGTCCCATTCCTGCTGTGATGATCACGGAGATGTTCCTGCAGTCGTCCCGACCCGCGGCGTTCATGGTGGGGGGCTCTGTGCACTGGCTCAGCAACTTCACCGTGGGGCTGGTGTTCCTCTACATGGAGGTAAGAGCCCACCACAGGGCAAAACTTGGGCTGCACAGCAGCTTCTTCCCCCCTGTGTTCTTACAGAGAGGCTCTGAGGAGTGTAAATGCATTTGTTGGTTCCCAAAAGCCGTGTGTGGGATGGTGTTACAGGCAGGACACTGATGATTCTCAGCATTTTCTCATCACACAGGCTTTAAAAGAAAGCAGTTTGAGTGCCAGGTCTCATCCTGAGCTCAGGAGCTTGGTAAAGATGGCAAATTCCCCATCTGCCGCTGCAGGGTGTCCTTGAGGGAACAATTTTAGGTTCTGAGATCTGGGAGCCTGGTTAAACTGCCCCCAGCAGCAGTGACCATGAACTGCTGCAGCCCTGACTTCACCCTGGGCAGAGGCAGCTGCTGAGTTTTGTGTGAGTTATGGAGCAGACCCTCAGCCTCCTCTCCCAGGAAGTCTCCAACAAACCCGAGGTGCTGGTTTGGGAAGACAGAATCCAAAACCACCCCAGCTTTGAGCCTTTCAGGTTAAAACACGAGCACCTCACCGTGGCAGCATTTCCCACAGCCAGTGCAGGTAACTCCCAGCTGGAATGCTGCCCTGACCCCTGCTCTGTCCTGTCACTGCCCTAGGCTGGGCTGGGGCCCTACAGCTTCCTCATCTTCTGTGCCATCTGCGTCGCCACCGTGCTCTACATCTTCTTTATTGTTCCCGAGACCAAGAATAAAACCTTCATGGAAATCAACAGGATCATGGCCAAGAGGAACAAAGTGGAGGTTCAGGAAAGCAAGGAGCTTAAAGATTCCTACCCCCTGAGCAGGCCAGAAGAGAAGAAGTGGCTCTCCAGCAGTGAGATGTGACCCAGCTGTGTTTGGCCTGACAGGATCTGTTCAGCAGGAAAACAAATGCAGGGATTCCTCCCTTGATGCTGACCTGACAATCACGGAGCTGCTAAGGCTGGAAAAGACATTTAGCATCAAATCCAACTGCAAACCCAACGCTGCCAAGTCCTCCTCTTGTTCCAAGGAAAAGGAAATGTCCTCAGCCAGCTCAGTCCTGTGACCAAGTAGCCGGTGGCACGAGCTGATGTGTGTCCCTGGTGTCCTGGTGACACATCCAGGGGACACAAGCCAGCTCTAGGGCTGGGTGTGGGGCAGTGGTGTGCAAGGAGTGCTCTAAACTCCTCTGAGGAACTGTCACTCGTGTGTTTGAGGGTCCAGCAAGGGGAAATTAAATTCAATTTGGTATATCAGCATGCTGCCCTCTGTTTTGAAAAAAGCAGAACCGTTGAGCAGCTTGGCATGGATCTTGTGTAGTAGATGGAGAATCCTTCACATGATTTACTTTAACCTTAGCAAATCAGTGTATCTATACAACACACCTGTGCTCAAGTTTGTGATATATAAGTGTTGAAAAAGGCACTGTTTCTGTGCTCTGTCTCTACATCCACTGCAGAAAAGAAGGCAAAGTTGTGCCACAGGCCAAGGCACAGGGATTGCACAGGACCTGTCCTAGGACCTGCCCTGCCCCAGCCCCACATCCACTCTCCTGTGGGATATCACTGCAAGGGAAGGGGTGCTGAGTTGGTGGTGACAAACAGAAGGAGAGGCAAGCAGGGAAAATGGTGAGAAACTGAGACTAGGTGAGGGATGGGAGAGAACTTTTATTTGAGAAAGCTCCTTTGACCAGAGAGCAGCTCTTTGGCATGAAAAAAAATCTGTGCACGGGGATCTAAATCAAGCCCCTGGGAGGGATGTAACAACCCAGGGTGCTGCATTGTGCCAGATTCTGCAGTTCATCACTTTTATCTCACAGATGGAGGTTTTGGTCTCTTGGAAAAACACCCTGGAGCACCAGGAGGTGCATAGTGAGCCCACAAAGCAGGAGCAGAAACAAGCAAGGAGTGCACTAAACTCCTCTGAGGAACTGTCACTCGTGTGTTTGAGGGTCCAGCAAGGGCACCCACCTCAGTTTTTCTGGCTTTCCCCAACAAACAGCTCAGACCCTCTGGATGCCCTGAGCCAGGCAGAGGCTGTGCTCACTGGCAGCTGGTGTCAGGCAGCAGAAGCACCCCCCCGAGGAGGGCCATGGGGGTCTGTCCCCAGGCGATGACATCCCCCGGGGGCTGCCCTGCCTTGCACAGCGCCAGCGCGCGAACCTCGGCGGCGCCGAGCACGCGGCTCCACAGGTTCACCTGGCTCATCCAGCCCGCAAACCCGTTGGAGAAGGTGCCAAGCAGGCTGTCCCTGTCCTTGCCAAGGAGCAGGGTCCCCCCAGGCCGGCTCACGTAGCCCTTCTGGACGCTCTTGGCTTTGCCAGCTGCTCCGTTGAGCCACAGCTTGGCCGTTCCCTCTGGGGACGCCCAGGTCACGCAGTGGTGCAGCCAGCCCTGCGTCTCCTGCTGCAGGGGGAAGCTCAGGAAGTGGCCTCCCACCCACAGCCCCAGCTCCGTGCCCACCGTCACCACCAGCTCGTGGTCACTCTCCCCAGTGGAGTAGGACAGGATGGTCTGGCTGCCCACGGGCTGGGCTCTGCTCCAGAAACACAGCGTGAAGGCTTGCAGAGACACAGCACGGAGGGGATGAACCTCCACAAAGCTCTCAATGTTTTCCACGGGGAAGTAGAAAGCTGGGAAGGTGCTGGATTTTGTACCTGAAATAACCCAAAAGCCAGCAGTTACATTTCCTGTAAACAAGCCCAAATTCTGGAGGGTAACAGCCGCAGAGCTGGGAGGGCTGTGTGGTCTGGGTGTTGTTACTGCTGTGTGTTGTGTCAGCAGGGAAGGGGATTGGAATGATGAAAAGATGAGCTGAGCTCCCCCACCCAAATGTTTGGGAAAATCATGGTTTTCCCTCCTTCCTCCTCTTTTCTCATGTTGTATAAAATAGAGGTGATGGTTATTTATCCTGGGGGAACTGAGATGAGCATTTTTACTGTCTGTAAATATGTGTTCCCCTGTGGCAGGAGAGAGCTGCAGCTGCTGTGGGAGTAGCTGGCTTAGGGCTGGCCTTGATGATGGTGAAGGGTTTCCATCAGCAGGCCCAGACATGGCACAAATCTCTGCCTGTGTGTGCCAGTACCAAACCTGTCAATGATTTGGGCCACCAAGCCCAGCAGGGCTCTTCATCCTCACAAGGTGAGCTGGACTCAGCCTGTGTTTCTCACCTGTGTGGCTCAGCCCATTCAGCAACTCTGTCTTCATGTCCTGGAGCTGCATCTGGATTTGATCCAGCCTGAGGGTGAATTCCTCTGGATGGCACTGTGCTGGAGCAATCAGAGAGCTGACTTTACAGAGGGCTGGGACCTGCACAAGCTGCATTTTCCAGCTGGAGCCAAAGCTGCGTTCCAAACTGCAGCTCCTCTCCTCTGTGTGGCCGCCCAGCCAGAGCTGTTCCCACATGCTGCAAGCACCAGACACAGCCCAGCTGAGGGTCCTGACGTGGTGCCAGGCAGCACCAGCTACCCTGGAGGTGTGACACTCAAAAGGCAGGGCTGGCACACACCTTAAACAAGGGGTGCCAGGCACACGGGACACCTCCACCCGAGCAGGGACACTGCCCTCCCAGACAGGGGATTCCAGCCCGTCCAGCCCCAAGGGCTGGCAGTGCCACAGCCTCCCCACGGGTGTTTGTCCCCCCCAGTGTCCCCTGGGCCTACCCTGGTCCTGCTGGGCTGGGAAGGAGGCCTCCACCACGCGGCCCCGCAGCGGCTGCGCGTGCCGGTAGTCGTTGCGCAGGGTGCGGTTGTGCCAGTCCAGCAGGGTGTTCTCCAGGAGCTGGACCTGGCACAGGGACAGGGACAAACACAGGGCATGGTGGCGTGGGGACATCACTCAGGGCATGGGGACATCACTCAGGGCATGGGGACATCACAGGGAGAGGGACAAACACAGGGTATGGTGGCGTGGGGACATCACTCAGGGGACAGGGACATCACTCAGGGCATGGGGACATCACTCAGGGCATGGGGACATCACAGGGATAGGGACAAACACAGGGTATGGTGGCATGGGGACATCACTCAGGGCATCACTCAGGGCACGGGGACATCACAGGGACAAGGAAAAACGCAGGGCATGGTGGCGTGGGGACATCACTCAGGGGACAGGGACATCACTCAGGGCATGGGGACATCACTCAGGGCATGGGGACATCACAGGGACAGGGACAAACACAGGGTATGGTGGCATGGGGACATCACTCAGGGCATCTCAGGGCATGGGGACATCACAGGGACAAGGAAAAACGCAGGGCATGGTGAGGTGGGGACATCACACAGGGCACAGGGACATCACACAAGGCCAGGGACAATCACAGGGCATGGTGGGGTGGGGACATCACTCAGGGCATGGGGACATCACTCAGGGCATGGGGACATCACAGGGACAAACACAGGGCATGGGGACATCACACAGGACACAGGGACATCACACAGGGACAGGAACATATACAGGGCACAATGGCATGGGGACATCACTCAGAGTATGGGGACATCACACAGGGCACAATGGCATGGGGACATCACTCAGGGTATGGGGACATCACACAGGGCATGAGGAAAGCAGCTGTGCCTGGAGTTGCAGTGCAGAGTGGCACAGGGATATCACAGGGACATCACAGAGGGCACAGCCTGCAGTGCAGAGTGGCACAGGGACATCACAGGGACATCACAGAGGGCACAGGGGCAGCAGCTGTGCCTGGACCTGCAGTGCAGAGTGGCACAGGGACATCACAGGGACATCACAGAGGGCACAGGGGCAGCAGCTGTGCCTGGAGCTGCAGTGCAGAGTGGCACAGGGACATCACAGGGACATCACAGAGGGCACAGGGGCAGCAGCTGTGCCTGGAGCTGCTGCTCAGGATTGCACTGGGGATCAGACAGGAATGGAATCCTCAGGGTCTCTTGCTGAGCAGCAGCTGGGGAAGGAACAGGACTGAGGGCTCTTTTCAGCTAATTCACAATAATTCATTTTGCCTGGGAGTTCTGAGCTCCTGCCTGATGCCAGCACGGATGGAGATTCTGCTGCTATTCTGTACCTTTCTCACAAGTGCCTTCTGGCCTTCCCCTGCCAAAAAGAGTATTTCTTTTTCAAAGAGAGCACACTGTGATCCCCCACTACTGTGGTCTCACTTTTATCTTTTTCTTCTGCTGGAAGAAAATGTTTCTGATGCTTCTTTATTATTTATTAACTTTAAACGATTACTTTCTGTGAGTTTAGACACAGGAAAAACCCTGAAATACCTTCTAAAATCTGCCAATTATTCTGTAATCATTTTAATGTTATGAATGACTCTTTTTTTGGTGGTTTTTTTATTAGTTTTGGGGTTTTTTTCAGGGAGACTCTTGTAGTAGTTTTTGCCTTGCTAATTCTCACTGGTCTCTTCCTTTTTTATAGTGCTTCATGGCTGAGCTGAGCTGAGCAGTTTTGTTATCAGTCACCAGACCTCTGTCACCTGCTGCCACGCAGAATGACAGCCACCTGTAACTCCAGCTGCTCAGGAATGCCCCCAAAATCTCCGTGGGAAAGGTGCCCTCAGAGCTCTCTGTTCCCAAAATCCCTGGAGGACAGAAAGGGAGCCGTTCAGAGGGAGGAGGAGCTGGTGAGAGGCAGCACTGACCTGCGTGTGTGAGAGCACAACTGGGGAGTGGAAGATGGTCCAGATCACGCTCTCGGAGCAGGGCGGGGTGGTCAGGGAGCCCTGGTACCTGTAGAAGTGGGAGAGGTTTTCTGGCAGCATGGCTTGGATGTCCAGAGAGCTCAGCGTGGTTGACTGACCTCCAAAGGAAGCAGAGATGGTACCAGCACTTAATGGGGAGGGAAGGGAGAGGTGGAAGAGCTCTTGGAGCTGGGGTTGGCAAATCTCTGCCCACAGCACTGGCCCATCAGACCTGTGGTGGAGCTGGCTGGAGATGGAGGGGCATGAGAGGCCCTTTCTGGGTCTGTGGTCTGTCACTCAGACAGGTGTGGGTCCTGAGGGTGCTGAGCAGCTGCTCTCAGCACTCTGCCAGTCCCTGGGGTGCTCCAGGAGGCATCAGGGGCTGTGCAGGCTGCAGGGAGCTGATATTTGGTGCTGCACAGATCCCCAGGAGTGCATTTATTGCAGCCCTGAGCACCCTCCCCACAGGAGTTGGAGTGCAGGGCTGAGGATGCTCTGCCAGCACAGCAGCAGGAAAATGTCTGTTCCCAGAGCCAGAGTGTACACACGGGCTGGGAGCATGCCAGGGACACAGAAAAGGCACTCCCAGGTCTCACCTGCAAACCTGATCCTTGCCAGTTTGGAAATGAATTCACTGTAGTAGGTGTTCTCAAAGTGCCCATCCTAAACACAGCACAGACACAGACACTTGATCAAAAGGTGTGACCCATATATGAGAGGTGTATATATATTTATATATAAAATACTACTTAAGGGGCAGTTTTCTGGGGCTCCCAAGGGGTTGGCTGGTGCTCTGTGAAGCCCAGATGGCCCAGGGGAAGCAGCACAGCCCCCTAAGGAGGTGCCAGACCCCATCTCTTGGGGCAGCTGTACAAACCTGGCCTGGGCTGCCCGTGTCTGAGGGAGGTTTTAGCCCAGCCAGTGCCCCCTGCCCCAGCCTGGGTCACACCTACCGTGTACAGGAAGGCCAGCACAGCCAGCCCCTGGGGCTTGTCTTTGGCTTCTTCAAAGCTGGAGTAGTTAGCAGAGTTGTAGTGGACAATGTGCAGCTGCCAGGAGAGAGATGGGGTCATTTAGCAAGATGTGATGAGTGGCTCCTGCGTGTTTAGAGGGACACGCTGAGGGGACAGTCACCACCCCAGTTTGTGCTGTTTGTGCCTCATAGCAGGCCAAAGGGACCTCTGGTTTAACAGGTTTGTGGTGACTGTGGGGGAACACCTCTGAAGGACACGAGTGCTCCTGCCATGGATTTTCTTGGAGTTTTCTGTGCCAGCACTGTCAGGCTCAGCCCTCCCACTGCCCTGCTCCCCCCTGTGCCTCCCTCCCTGCAGGTTCTGTGGATGCAGCCCCCTCCCACTGGTGGATGCAGCCCCCCTCCCACTGCCCTCCTCCCCCCTGTGCCTTCCTGCAGGTTCTGTGGATGCAGCCCCCTCCCACTGCCCTGCTCTCCCCTGTGCCTCCCTCCCGGCTCTGTGGGACGCAGCCCCCCTTTCCCAGTGAGCCCAGAGCCCCTCCTGCCCCCCGAGCCCCCCGGACCTCGGCGAAGTAGCGCATGCCGTCGATGGTGTGCTCCGAGCCGCTGCTCTCCAGGTCCAGCCCACCCCAGTGCAGGTGCATCTGGACAGCTGTGTAGACACCTGGGAGCCCTCTGGAGATGTTCATGGTGGGTGGCAAATCGATCTGAACTGAAAAATGACAGGGTTGGAGGCAGCAGGGGGTGCAGCCGTGCCCATCCCTCTGGTGGCACCTCCTGGAAGGAGCAGGCACAGTCACCACCCGGTGAGGGAGGGAAAACACTCTGAAAAGTGAGTTCACACGGTGAACTTTAAAGCTGGGTGTGCTTGAAACCTTTCCCGGGCTCAGGCTGGCCCAGCACACCAGGCACAAGCAGGACTGGGCATCCCCAGCTGTACCTGCAGACCCTTCTCCCCCTGAGAGCTCTGGCTTTGGCAGCAGGCATTAATGAAAGCTTGGATGCTCAGCTCACCCAGCTCAGCACACCTGGCACAGGTCTGTTAACCACTTCATTTCCAAGGCAGAAAAGGGGAATAGGAATCGACACAGCCAGTGGCCTCATCTGTAATCACAATTCCCAGGGAGGCCCAGCCATTCTGGGAACGCCCTGGAGGTTTGAAAAGGCTGTGTCACTGCTGAAGGATTTGTGGAGACAAAGGTCTTCTCTTCTCCTTGCCAAGGAGAAGTCACAAACCCTTTGTCTTCCTGCTAATTCACTGCCAGAAATCATAGATTATGTTAATAAATCTAGGAGTGGAAGTGGAGAATTGCCTCATCTAAATGAAAGCCCCCAGCATGTTACAAAAACTAGCAACTATCCTTGCAAAATGCAGCTCAACAAATTATTAATTAGTCATAGTTTGGGTTTCTGAGGAGTTTCTTTTTTTTGTGAACTGTTTTCATAGACAGACAAGACAAAAGCATGTTTCCTTTTAATAAGCCAAAGGCTCTAGAGTGGAAGGGATAACATAATCTACCTTTTTCATGAGTTCCCTGCTGACTGCCTTCCATAATGAAGGTTATTTACTTCAAGTACCTCACCAGGGTTTCTACTTTCTACAAAACACAGCCAGGGAATTGTGTTGTGAGTTTGTAACAAGCTTAAGTCTCCTCTAAGATATTCTAGGCAAATATTTGCTGCAAGCACAAGGTAGGGAGCAGCCTGGTTTGCTTCTGCTTTTCTCCCACGTGGAGTGTGGCTGCTCCGAGCTGGCAGTGCCTCCCTCCTGCTCTGCCCTGGCTGTGCCAGGCGGTGGAGAATCAGCTGGGCTGAGCAGGGTGAGTGAGCTGAGCCTTCCCCAGAGTTCCTGCCCTGCAGCTTGGCCTCTGGCCATCCCTGCCTGCAGGACAGCAGGCACAGCCAGCCTGCCTGCCCAGCCCTGGGAGTTAATGGGGCACGCTGGAGCTCCCAGTTAAATCTGCTCCTGGAGGAGGATGCACACATGGGTGACATTTAAATTTTGCTTGTCCTCACTACCAGCTGGAGGACCGACTTTCTTTAAAAGAAGAAGAAATTGCAAATTCAAAAGGCTTTGTTAAGCCCAGGCTCTCTGTGTGAGCACTCACACCAAAGCAAACAGGCATTTTCAGGTGGGATCTAACAGCTCTACAGAAAAAAATGAACCTGGTATCCTGGGTGAGACATTTGGGGTTTGGTTCTGAGAGCCTGTAAGGAGAGTCCTGCTGGTAAATCCCTCTCCTGTCCCTTTCAGATGTGCTGAGAGATTCTGCTGCCCTGTCCCATCTCACTGAAGGCAGTAGAAAAGCCCAGCCTGCCTCACAGGAGCTGTGAATAGGCACAGTCGTTTGTCTTTGTGCTTTAGGAAACTGCCCCGCTTCAGAAAAGCATTGTTGGGAAGTTAACAAAAGAATGGACAAATACACACACGCAGTCAAAAAAGCTAAACCTGCAAGAATTAATGTCTAGGCAGGCAGGGCAGTAGTGCTGACAGAGAGCTCCGGGCTGAACGCTGACTTGGTGAGGGCCACACAAAAGGAGTTCCAGTTTTCAGGAGCAGTCACAGCAGCCTTCCTCTGCTGGCACTTTGTCCCCCAGCCCTGCACTCCCTGCCCTCACACAGGACTCCTCTCTCTTTGTGGCAGGCAGGAAGAAAGAGCTGCTGTGCAGGACTCAGGAGCCGACAGCTTTATGTTCCCAAACCTTCCCAAACCGCTCATCCTCTCTCCCCTGCAGCCATCAGGAAATTCTCTCACTGCTCATCTGTAGTCCAAAGGCGTTATCCCAACAGGACCAGCCGATGAATTATTTAGGCAATGAATTACAGACTGCAGCAGGGGGATCTGGGATCTCCTAAATTATAAGCATTGCCCTGAAACTGTGTAGCCAAAGGCCGGGCTTTAACATGTGCTGTGCTTCACTTTCCTTTCCTGAGCCCCAAAATTCCAATCCTCTGGTGAGGGGGGGATCCTCCCCTGTGTTGTACTTAGGGTGACCTACATCCCACCAAACCTGGCATGCAGAGGTTCCATTCCTGTCACTTCTGATTCATGCACAGGCCAAAAGATGCATTTTCCTGAATGCAGAGGAGTCAGTGTGCCCCAAATACCACACACTGCTGCTCTCCTGTTGTCTTGCAGCACACTAAAGGAAAGGATCAATCTGGAATTCTCCAGCTGCATTTTATCCCCTTTTCATGTCCAACAGAGAAAACACCTTGCAGAAACCTAACTGCCTTTTATTTGTCTGATTTATTCATGCATTTCTGCAGAGCTTTCCTGCGTGCCTGAGGAAAACAGCGAACCGAAGGGAGCGGAATGAAAGCGAGATGGCAAAGCAAGGTGAGTTCAAAACAAGGGCATGGTCTGGGAATGCATTCCCACAGCTGAAACAAAAGGTCTGTTCCTGGAGCCTTACCAGAGTGGCCGTTGTTGGTCATCCTGAGCTGCCCCTGCAAGGGCCCATCGTAGCCACCGAGCTCCAGCTGCAGCAGGGGGTTGAACTTCACTTTCCTCCTCTGGATGTCAATGGGGGATTGCTGCTTGCCAGCACAGTCTGGGAAGTGCTGTCCCCAGTGCTCCTCATCCAGCTCTCCTTCTCCTGGAGGGGAGGCAAGGCAGGTCACAGGGATGTGCTGTCTAATTATTGGAACGCCAGGAACTGCAGCCACAACGGGTTGCTTTGCCTTCCCCAGAGTGAAAATGCACATTATTGTGTCTGCAGGACAGCTGTGCTGTAAAGTAAGGAACCTGCATTGCAGCAGCGGCTCGGTGATGGCTGAATCTCCACCAAAAGAGGAGGGTGTTTACATGGAAATGGGGATTTAAATGGGTCCCAGCTGCCAGAGGTGTGGAATTGGCTTCTTAACCAGCCATGAATAGGATCAGGGCAATAGGCAGGAAGGCTCAGCTTGGGATCAGGAACTGACAGCAATTAGCTATTTTTAACTAGGGAGACAGCGATTGCAATATTGCAACTCCTCAACAATATCCTTTGTTTAAGCTTAGCCCGCTGAAGATCATAAAAGGATTAACGCCTACTTCAGTGAGCTCTGCGAACAACTCCCTGACACAAATGAAATTTAGATAAAATTCCACCCAAAAAATTATAAATACCTAAACAAGTACTTCTTAGTGCTCTGTACTGCCTGGGATATGACAATAAAACAAGAAGCAGGCAGTATTTAAAGCTTTTCCTTGCAGGATCATCCAAAGGGCAGCTTTTCTTCTAACACACTCTAAAGATTTCCCCCATTGTTTGAACCTCGTTTTGCTGCCAACCCTGACAATGTGTCCTAACCACACAAAGGAGTAAAAAGAGTTGACATCGAGGAGAATCACTTTGGCATCGCATCGATGAAGTGGAATAAATGAGCTGCTCGGTGACCTCTCACTAAGGGACAGCACAGAAGGGCAGGGAGCCTGTCCAGCAGCAGCAGCACCCCGTTTTTACCTTTGTATGTCCAGGACACCTCGTGGCAGCGGCTGAGGGGTGCCAGGAGCAGGAGGAGCAGGAGCGCTGCCATCAGCATGTCTGTGTTGTACCTGCAGCACAGCAGGACTGGTTAAAGACCCCTCAGAAAGCCCAAATGCTGGTTTCTCCAGTGCCAGCAGCCCTCCTGCCCTTCTCCTCGCCCAGCCCCAGAAGGACAGGCAGTTTGGCTCTCTAAGCTGTCCCCACAGAGGGGACAGGACCCCCGATGGTCAGAGCTGATGGCCTGGGGTCTGTGTGACCCCTGCACGGCTCTTCCCGTCCATTCATTCCTCATCAATGGGTTGGAAAGCTCCTCGCTGCAAGCGTGGGTACAACAGAGCTTTGTAAGCAGAAACACCCAGCCCAGACCTCAGGGCTGCTCCCCTTTGCAGGGCAAGGAGCAAGGCAGAAGGCATGCAGAGGACTGGATTTCAAAAGTGCAGAGCACTCACAGTCCTGCTAGAAGTCAAAACTGTAGACGCTTTGCTCTTCTGGAAACTGGAGACTGGGTTTAAAAGCACTCCACACTCCTGAGCCTTAGCATTCAAAGTATTTTGCTTTCCACACCTTTCCTCATCACTGAAAATCTAGTTTTGAATGGGAGAGTTTGAATCCTTTAAAAAATTCAGAGTTCTCAAAAACTTGAAAGGTGCAGGAGACTGAAACCCTGATGGCTTTTCAAAAAACATGCAGGAATTCAAATAAAAACTAGCAGGTGGCAGGTGTCGAAATGCTCTGGTGGACTTCTGTATCTCTTCAGACACTTGATTTCCTTAAAAATGTGTCCCAAGCAAATACTTGTCTATGGTCCAGTAAAAGTCACTTGGCAGAACAGGGAACAGACCATGGATTCTCTCTCTGCCTTTTTGTATCCTGTCACCAGGCAAATGCCATTCCCTTTGAAAATCCTCCTCCTCCCTCAGGAATGACACGCTGCTGGCAGCCCTTTCTTCCCAGCCATGGCCCCCAGCTCCTAACCCCGTGGTTTCAAAACAAAAGGGGAGCAGAATTCTCCCCAGGAATGGAACTTTTACCTTCTATGGAAAAGAACTAGAGATTCCAACAAAAGCAGCACAGCTGGGCTGCTGGTTTTAGGTGACAGGCAGCAATATTAAACACGAGGCAAGAAGGTGCAGATCAGTGAAATCTCAGCACTTCTGTTCCAGCGTCCCTGCCACTTGTAATAAAATTGGCAATTATTTTCAGGACAAGGTGATTTTCAGCCACTCAGTGAGGTGGCAGCAACTGAGGTGAGTCTGGGGGCGAAGGTCAGGCTGAGCTGCACAGAAGGCAAGACCCAGTGTGGCAGTTTGGGGGGAAGTTTGGGGGACAGTTTGGGGCAGTTTGGGGCAATTTGGGGGGCAGTTTGGGGTGGGGATTCTGCAGCACAAGCAGCCTTGCTCATTCTGTGATTCTATGAACAATAACAGCAGTTCACCAGTAAGAGGCACAGGTGAGCCACAGGTGCCATGGGAACTCAGGTTTCTGTGCTGAAGAACAGAAGCAGGTCTTTGACTCAAAATCTTATTGTTTGCAAGTGAATTGTTAACGTAAAAAGGCCTCTCCTGGGTTGCTGCTTTGTGCAGTGCATATTTAATCTTTGGCAACTGCTGTAACATTGAGCTGATTCACCAAATGTGTTTTTTCCCTCTCTCCTCTGAAGAAGTCATTTATTCTGACGGTTGCACTGAACTGTGCAAGGACCAAACCAAGCAAACCTGCCCTGCAATGCACTTCTTAATCCTTGTGTATCCAGTTGTGTAAATAGGCTTTGAAATTAGCTGAGGGTGAAATTTTGGGGGTTTATACCTCTTTGCACTTCAGGATTCCACACAGCAGCACAGGAGGCTGTGAAGAAGAGCCAGGCACGGGGATTACCTCTGCACTGGAGAGGTGCACTGGAATTCATTTTTAATGGAGCTTTTGCAACATTTGTGACATTTCACTTGACATCAGCAGGGGCTGTGGGTGCTCAGCACACCCAAAACCCACATCTGTGTTAGCTCAAATTCTTGTCTTTAAGGTCCCTTCTAGCCCAAACCATTCTGTGATTCTATGAAGACACAGCAATCCGTGGAAAGGATTTACTAAGGGCACAAAGCATGAATTTGTTTTGAGGTTAGGACAAAACAATAATTTCAATTAAGTTCTTTAATTTGGATATTGAGCTTCTAACTAGGAGCTGAATGTTATGGGAGTCCTCCTGTATAAGCATTGCCCACGTCACCCACTGGTTACTGGTTCTTGGAGCTTTTTTAGTGTATGTGGTATTAACCCTGGCTGGCCTGAGGCTTGCCTTGGTCAGCTCTTTTGCCACCTGGACATAATTGCTGGAGAGAAGAATGGACATAGTGCCTGGGAGCTCCAGGCAGCACAGCAGCTCCGTGCCTGAGGTGAGCTGAGCCTTCACAGGTGGAGACTGGAACAGGACTCATCCCTGCACCGAGACTCAGCCAGTGAGAAAATCTGATGTTGCGTGTGTCAGCCATGAATATTCTTGGCATGATTTCTTCCCAGAGGCAGGGAACTTTCACACAGGCCTCAGCTTCCCCCTCCTGCCTCGACTGCAGTAGGAAATAAGCCTTTTATCCCACATTGTTGGCTTCCATGCTCTTCACTTTTATCTCTACAGTTTCCCCTGACTCTTTGCCATCTTTTAAATCCTGCTTCTCCCAGGCTATTCTCTTTGTCCTGGCTGGCCTAAAGCTCAGCTCAAGTCTGGCATTCTGAGTATTGGTGGCCACATTAAAACCTTGATGTGGCATTGATGTAGCTGGCTCAAACCTCAGTGCTCCTTTGACCCAGAACTTGAAAGGGTTAACTCCTCTGCCTCTGAATCAGCAGGAATTCCATCAGGGCTTGCAGTAAGAGCTGCATCACTGGCCAGCCCAGCAAACATTTGCCCAGGAACAGGCTGTTTGAAGTGAGATGGACAGAGTGCCTTCAATCGGGCCGTTCAGGTTTTTCTGAGTGACTCTAAAACCTCTTCAAACAGAGCTCTCTCTGCTGAGGTTGTGCTGGATGAGTGAAGGCATCCAGAGCCTACACAAGTTTTATGAAAGGCAAAGATCAGCCAGTGCTGGCAGGCCCAGACCCATGAGGAAAGCTGACAATAGCTGTGCGGATTGAAACACGAGATTCTTTTATTCAACAATTCCTCTAATGTTTCTACATCTTATTTCCAAAACTGGCCCTCTTTTCTTTGATATTTTGCCCAGGCTCTTTTTTTTTTCTTCCCTTTTTGCCCCTGTTTTTCAAGTACGTACAGAGATCACAGAGCAGAAAAGCACTGGAATTCATTTCTCCAGTTCACACAATCCCTTTAGACCTCCTTCATCTTATACAATATTTTGATGTATTTGACTAAATTTAATCATAGAATCAGAATGGTTTGGTTTGGAAGGGACCTTAAAGAATATCTAGTCCAACCCTCTGCCATGGGCAGGGACACCTTCTTACCTTCTTCTGATATAAATTCAGACACCTTTATGATTCTGCTGAAGCTTTGTGGAAGAAATGGGCTTTGAGGCAGTCAGAGACAGACACCAGAGATCTACACCAGTGCTCCTAAAGGCAGGATTTGCCCATTTGAAAGCAGAGAAGTTCCCTCTGCGAATTCCATTTCACGGTCTAACAGATCTCAGCATTACTTACCTGCACTTCATTGTCAACCTAAATTTTCTTTTGCTCAGTTTCAGCCAATTACTCTTAGTTATAGCTGTAACCCTTGGATTATCTTAAAATAGTTTTCCCTTTTTAATGTTCACATCACTTCTGGGGTGGTTATCACCTCGCTGCACCATGGGCAGGAGCAGCCTTTCACTGCCATTTCCCCAAGGTGGAGAAAAGGACAATGTGATGCTATAAAAAGGAGAGAACATGGTCAAATAATCCCTCTTCATTTTAATTTCCAGGAAATGTCATTACAGCTCTTGTAATGTCTCTTTAGGGCTGCTCTACAGACTTTGCTGAAAGGGGATT